CCAGGCTCCTGACTGCAACCTGGGTCTCTAGAACACATCCCTGATCCTAGCCCGAGCTGAGACCGGAGCTGAGAGCCTTAAGCAGAGCCAGGCTGCCCAGGAGCACTGCTGGGGCAGAGAGCTGGATTTTGGAGGATCTATGGAGCTCAGCATGAGCCACGTCCTTGTCAATGTGATTATTGAGAAGCACTTTGATTGCTCAAGCTTTGTTCAGTCTTGTGGTGGGCGGGGTGGGTAGGCAATGGGGGACCTCTCTAAGAGGTAGGGAGCCCCAGCAACCCCAAGCGTCTTGAGTCCATTGTGCTCAGTGTGATCTGTTAAGGATCAGTGAGTCAAGACATTATCCTGCTGGAGATCAGACCATTGGGTTATCTTCTTGCTCCTGGAATGTACTCGAGGTGCCCTCCCTTTCTGTAGGTTGTTTCCTTACAGGGGACATGAGGCTGCTTCCAAAGCTCCTTGTGATGTTGTTAGAAACGTCCAAGGGGGAATTCTGGGTCTGCTTAAAACATGTCAGGGTGGTCTGCATGCCTCAGCCTTCCCTTTGTCATGTGCTCCTTAGCTGCTGGGAACAAAACCCATGCCAGAGCTATGCTCATGCCTCCTTTGGGCTCTTGCAGAACCCCTCAACGGGCAGGTGCTCATGGTGCTCAGCATGGACAACAACTGCTCAACCACCTCCTTTGATACGGACCTTTATGCAGAGAAACTCCAGGCCCTTGGGGTTCAGGTAAGTTCCTCACATGTTATTCCCCCGGGGACCCTGTAGGAGTGAACACAAGCTGGGTCAGCATCATTTGCATCTGCACCCACATCACAGACAGCTCTGCTTTGGCTCTCGTTCTCAGAGTCGCTTCTTTCAGTTCCACTTCTGTCTATTCCCCATGGGCTGCTTATCAGCTGTGATGATCTTGTCTTAAACTACCATGAAGAAACCCATTCAACATAGTGAGCTGCTTGAAAGTCACTCTGATGGGTTGGAGCATCCCTGGGATGATCTGTCCTTTGTCACGAAAAGCTAGTTTCTCTTGTGACCTTCCCTGCACTTCCCAGAGTGACAGTATTCACTGCAAATGAGGCAAGAACTGAAGGTTTCCGTTTGTGGTAGCTGTATGGATGAGATTGAAGATGTGCTCTGGGACACAGTTTGAGCTGCAGTGAAGCCTGACCCATGACTGCCCAGGCTAGTTCTGATGGGATTTGGAGCCCAAAACTATGGGGTGGCTCCAGTTTTCTGTTTGCTCCCTGGGCAGGTGGCAGCGGATCAGTGGAGAAGGTTGATCCAGGATGCTGTTCTGAAGCCTGAAGTGAGACGGTACATGTTCTACAACTCCAGGGCATTCCAGATAGCCATTGCTGTGGTAAGTGCGAGGGTGGTCTCTGACTGAGCTGCATCAAGACCCGCAGCTGGGGTTCTTGTGCCCAGGGAAGGAGAGAGGCTTGGGTGGAGAGCAGATGCTGGTTTTCACACATGCTAGTGGACTCCTGGGGAAACCTCAGTTCACAGGTTTTCTGTACATGGAGGTTAAGGCACCATCTCCAATGCCTTGCTGTTAGTCCCACCGAAACATGGCTGAATAACTAGCCTATACTGAGGGAGTTGTACCTACAATAGGCTATTTTTTAACTTGATTTTAAACATCTTTAGATATTCTGGTCCTGATGCTAATTCAGACCAAAGGGCCAGTCAACCTTTTGGTTACTGAGGTGTTTGTCTAGTCTTATTCTTCTTCTGGTGAGAAAAGCTCCTCTAGAGACCCCAACCATTAGCATCTACTGGAAGGCTGATACTTTGCAGTATGCTGAGAATGTGATAAAGTCTGACTCATTCATTTAGCTGCATTAATTTTTTGGGATAGCCATTACACATGTCTTCTCCTCCTCTCCCTAATATTGCAGGAACTGGTGCTCAGTGTTTTGATGGGTTTGGTACTTGTTTAGTGTAAAATACATTATATTAGTGCAAGATGATGCCGTGACACAATGATGTTCTGCTATGCTGTGCTGCATATGTCATATTTGCTTCTGGGCAATCTCCTGCCCAAATACATGTTATCTGAAGTAAAGGCCAAATGAATTCAATTTTGCCTGTCTTTATCCGAAGGCCAAGTTTGTCAGTCCTTAACATAGTCCTTGACCCCAGTGTCAGCATCACTATTTGAGTGTTACTGTGATTGAGTAGTGTCTGCACTTCCTTGAGTGTTTTGACACAGGAGCTTTTTAAATGAAAGGTCTGTTAGAATTATTATCAATACGCCTTGGTGAGTGCATTTCTTATCTAAATGGAAGAACTCAGTTTAAGTCCTTCCTAGGTATGAATCATACTTAACAATTCACTATGTCCTTGATGATTGGTAATTCTTTATAATAAACTAAGGCTCAGAGTTCTTCTAGTCCTTTCTTTTCCCTATTTATTAATGAAAAAAAACCCTCTGTCCTTTTCCACCTCTGAAAATCTCATGTGACAATTTGTGGCAAGGTATTACCCTATGAGAAGGGGCTGGTGGATTTTTCTTCTTCCTATGAGGAGGGAAGAGAATCCTAGAGGAGGACGAAGAGATGCTGCGAGGGCTGGAGCAGCTCTGCCCTGGAGACAGGCTGAGAGAGCTGGGCTGGGGCAGCTGGAGAAGAGAAGGCTCCTGAAGGGGACACCTTAGAGCAGCTCCAGTGCCTAAAGGGGCTCCAGGAAACCTGGAGAGGGGCTTTGGACAAGGGATGTAGGGACAGGACAAGGGGAATGGCTTGAACCCGCCAGAGGGGAGATTGAGATGAGCTCTGAGGCAGAAGCTCTTCCCTGGGAGGGTGCTGAGGCGCTGGCACAGGGTGCCCAGAGAAGCTGTGGCTGCCCCATCCCTGGCAGTGTTCAAGGCCAGGTTGGACACAGGGCTTGGAGCAACGTGCTCTAGTGGAAGGTGTCCCCGCCTGGGGCAGGGGTTGGAGGTGGATGAGCTTTAAGGTCCCTTCCAACACAAACCACTCTATCGTCCTATGACTTTTCTTGCTTTCATGGTTTGTGACTATCACCAGCCTCTGGGTTTTCACAGGTTTTCTATATGTCTCTCTGGACAAACATTTACTCCACAGTCCAGCTGTGTTCCTTCGGACGCCACTGGGCGGCCAGTGTGCTGGTGACCCTGGCTGCTGTAGCAGTCACTGTCATTGTGATACTCATTATTGACCATCGCCAAAGGAAGGTAAGAGGTTGCTGCTTGTGTGCAGGCACAGGGAGCAGGACTTCCTCCCACCAGAGTGCTGGGACATGGGCTGTAATCTAGATACATTCTAAGAACATATTTATCTGGAGAAGGAAGGAAGAACTTTACAGCAGACTCGGAGATCAGGTTATGCAGCTAAGACAGGTGTTGTAATACCTAAACGTAGGTGTTGGAGCCAGGCAGGCTGGCCTAGATCACCTGCTTCTTGGAGATAAAGCAGCCTTTCAGGGCATGGTTCATGTTCCCAGTGCTGATGGGAAGCCACGGGAGCTCACCAGCAGAGATGGCTCCTGCCCGGCTTCTCATGGTGGCTCTTGGTTGCCTGTTGCTATTATGAACTTCAATCACTTGTGCTGCTGGAGCCATGGGGTCATCATCCAGGCCATGCCACACCTGCCTTGTAACAGGTTCTGAACAAAAAAGCAGCTCCTAACCCATAGGAGTTGCAATACAAACCCAAGGTAGACTGGGCAGCAGAAGGAAAAGGGGAGGTGCTGTTAGCAGGAGAGGCAACCAGCCTGCAGCATCTACTGCTTTGTTGGTGTCAACTTTTGCTCATAGGAATAACAGGAGTATGGAGATTTCTAAGAAGTGAGCTGAAGAATAATATTGGAAAGGCTTGATTCAAAATCCAGAGGGGTCTCTGCACTGATCTGAATGTATTTTGGAGCAAGCCTCTAACGACAGCTCTGCCTCTAAGGGGAAACCTGGCAAATGTGTAGGTGCACAGAGGTGCACTCCTTTATTTGGGGACTGCTGTGGGATGGAAGAGAACATGCTTCTGGAAGTCAATACCACTCCAGATAAATCTATAAGAGGAATAAGCCTTAGTGAGATTTCTCTCTGCACAAACATCTGCTAGCGGTGGTTGGGCCAGTAATGGAGGCTGGTGACAATCCTTCCCTAGTGCAGACTGCTCTTGTCACTGTTTTCCTTTTGAAGCTGTGGTATTTGGGGTTATCCAGCTGCAGTTTGCAGCCATGGGCTGGCCCAATTTCTGCTGCAGAGCATGTTAACTTCTCTTGCATTCTTTAACAGATAAATATGAATACAGATATGAGGCTGGCAGCTGTCAATGAAATCTTTATCAGACACAGTTTAATTCTGGGGATTACAGATGTCCTGGATGGGCCACACAACATCCTGCAAGTATCCTTTCTGTAGGGAATTGTTTGTGTCCCTCCTGGGTAACTGATGATATGGAGCTATTTGTTGATGTTATGATCCATGAGGATTTCCAGGGGGTGGGATGTCTAGGATTTGTTCTCCCATTGCATGGCATGAGGGATTGGGGGTTTTTTGTTCTACAAATGGGGATTAAGCTACGCCCAGAGGTAATTGGAAATAATGCAACTAAAAGATTGAAGTGGGATTAGTCCTTTGGGCAAGAGAATTATTCCTGAAAGTGTATTATACTTACGTGACAGTGGTGATTCTTCAGATGAACAGAATGACAGCAATTTGCCTATGGCAAAAAAACCCCAGCAAGAAGAAACCAATACAGAGCAAATACGAGCCTCCATCCCTGGGCTCATTTGCAGCTTTTCAGAGATACATTTTCTGCAGTAGACAGAGATTTAAGGTAAAGAAGAGCGTTTCCAGAGAGCATGGAAGTGTTAAAGGAAGGTGAGAGACAGAGTCACCCAGATTTGCTGGTGAACTTCACACCACCCCATATACATATAGAGGCATGAAATACAAATGGAGAGGGGACCAACAGGATCAGAAATGGGGACAGGGAAATACTGCAGGAGGGCTGGTCAGAGTGATGGTGTGCAAAATGGGGAGGAAACAAAGAACCTGAATTCCATGTTTTTTGTAGACCACCATAGTTTTATGCTGCAGTAAGTGAGGACTAATCCAACGAGCCTTCACCTACCAGTCCCAGAACTGCCTGAAAGCAGAAAACAACCCAAACACTCAATTGATTTTGTGAAAAATAAATGGAATTAATCCATATTAAAAAAGGAAGGAAATCAGGAAGGGGGTTAGGGGAGCTAAGTCGACATGATCCTCTATTTACATGTAAGGCCTCTGAGATGACTGATGGGCAATGCACTGGATTGTCCCAATGTCAGCACGAGGTGTGTGAGGAGGACTGGCTGCCATGTGGGGCAATGCCACCCCTCCACCCTTCCCCTTTAGCTTGGCTTAAAATTGTCCCTGTGATGTTATGTGAGTGTTCCCTAGTGTATCCTGAACATCCCTCAAACACCAGCAGCCTCATTTCTATCCATACCATGATCCGCAGGAAGGGCTGCAGAGGGGGAAGTGTGATGAACTCCTTCCTTAACCCTGCCCATCCCAGCTGTGGTTTGTGCACTTCAGCCCAGAGCGCTGCCTTCAGTCCTTATCAGCCCACATCATGGACCTGCAGAGGACACGGGAGGTAAATGATGCTCAAGCTCTCATAGTAGCATGTGCAGGGCACCCTTATGCCCCAGCTTTGGTGGGATGGAGTAGGGCAAAGTGAACCAAGTGTATGAGTGTCCTTCTGGGCATCCCCTGCTGTGAACTGGGAGCTGAACAGACTGGGAGGTGGATCAACTGCATCTGTTGGTGCTCAGATAAGCAGGAATTTCTTTAGGCCCTGTGTGTGTCTGGGTAATTAACTGTATGAGTTTAATAAAGGAAAGGCATCAAGAATCAAGGGCAAATCTGGAAAGCATGTGTCACAACTCAAAATAAGCACTGCCTTGAGCTGTCCTCCTGAAATAAATGAGATGATAGCCTGAGGAGTTAAGTGAGCACTCGTTTACTGTATGAAAATGCTGTTTTCTTGGCCTTCAGGAAAGGTTTTCCTCTATTGCGTTGTATAAATACGCAAACACCGTATTCTTCACTGGATGTTAGTGGGATGAGAGGTGAACGGGGTGCAACCATCCAAGAATCTCAAGGCTGCTCATCCATCACTGTGGATGGATGCAGATACAGTTTAGGGGTGGACAAAAACATATTGATTCACATACTGGCTGATACAGCTCATCTAGCTTTTAAAGACTATTTTAAAGACAGATTTGTCATGCCAGGCTGTGACATCATGCTGGGAGAAGTCACTGGCACAAGAGGCAGCTGATGGCAGCAGGGGTGTGGGATGAAGGGGCTCAGCTCCAGACAATGGGCATGGCTCCTGGGCAGTGCTGTGTTTTAATCTTGGGGTGATAACACTACTAGGAGTTAAGAGCATGCAGGAGAAAATCAAGGCTGTCCTCAAGACATCACTGCCTTCCTGCCTCTGGAGCCCCCCAGAATCTGTTTCTCTTGTAGCTGGCTTTGCGGCACAGCCTGGATGAGCTCTGTGTGGTTATGGAGGTGGTGGTTTCCCCTGACATGGGCACGGAGGCGGAGGCTTCACAAGAGGAGTCCCCTCTGTTATCCAGTGGGGTGAACCTAAGTAAAGAGCCTGTGACATGCAACGAGCTGCTCCACCTCGTTTCTGAGGGCCCACCAGAGGTAAGGAGAAGGAATATCCCTCCCTGATGAGCAAAGGTACCAAATTACATCTCCAGACACCTTGACTCCAAAATCCATCCCAGCAGCCCCTGGCCATGGGGGACACCTCCGTTATCACTAGTAGAAGTCCCTGGAAGCTTGGAGGTCCATACACACCTTCTCCAGCCCTAATAGCGTTGAGTAGTTAATGAGTACTGAGCAGCTAGTGCTTAATCCTTAAGGAATTAAAGGATTGGGCTTTTCCTTGCTGGTGGCCAGGGGTTCCCTGTTTGGAGGAGAGGGGTCTGTGCGGAGACCCAGCATTTCTGTTCAGGCTGGGGACAAGGCCTGGATGTGTCCAGCTTTTGTCTCCTCCATGAATGTGCTTTCAAAGACTTTGTGCCACGCTGAGCATTAAACGTGTCCTCATTCTTGCTCAGCAAGAAGCTTCAAATGGGATGACTTTGAGTCATTGTTTTTTTTTGATTCACTAAGTGAATTTAGTGCAGGTGACATCCCTTCAGGTTGAAACTCTACGGGCAAAACAAGGCAATTGGAGGCAGGGACAGAGCAGGCAGGTCCCCAAGCAGCCTGGCTGCCTGGCCACCGACTGCTGGGGTCATATCATACCCCCACGGGGACAGTGTGCCAGCCCTGACAGACCAGAAGGGGATCTGGGACAGTTACATATGCCATTGGCTTCAGTCCTGTTTCTTTCAGAGAAGGACAGTCATTGAATGAGGGAACAAATGGCATTTAGTGTGTCATCACTTGTCCTGCTCTGCTCTGACTCCTTTACTGCTCGTTCCAGGTGATGGCCCAGCAGCTCCTGGTGATCTTCAGTGGATGCTATGTCCGACTCCTGGTGACCGGCCGGCTGCCCCGACCCGTAGCAGAGGGTCACCTGGAGCAGAGCAGCATGCCCTGTCTCTGCCAGTTCATCCAGAGCTCTGTGCTCAACACATACCAGAGCTGGTTCATGGCACAGTGATCAGAGGGGGCTGGCAAATGCAGGAGTGCAAGCTGTCCATACACAACAGTGTGAAGAGGTCATGGGGCAGAGAGAAGGGCTGCTCATCCTTGTCTCATCTGGATGAACAAGTGGAAATAAGACTCTAATCAACCATACAAGACACTCGCTGCCCGCTATGGTCCAGTAGAGCTCAAAGGGCTTCACTTTGGACCACTAATTATAGGATCAAAAGGTGCTCGGCTTTAGCCATTAATAAATCTCCATCCTGGCCACAACTTGTGTTAGTAATTACTAGGAATGTCTCAAAACTCAGTATCAATGGTACCGTTCCACCTGGGTTATGATCAAGGGAAGGCTGTTGGGGGATGATTGTCCCAGCTCTCGATTCCTGCCTTCCCCAGTGATCAGAAGACCTTGGTTTGGTCAGTTCCTCCTCCTTAGCCTTCTTAGTATCTGGTACCGTCAGGGATGCTTCACCATCCAACTCATTACACAGAGGCCAAAGCCTGAAAGGAATTCCTGAGATTATGGATGAATCAGGGGATGCACCACTCCAACATCCCTCCGCTGTATGCATTGCATCCTGCCACCGAGTATCTACTGCTTGTGTGATCATATACCAAAAAGGTTTTGGTACCAAAGGCCAAGCATCGCTCAAGGCAGCAACCCTGGGCAATAGGATCACCACACTGCCCTTCGCACTGGTGCCAACGGGGCAGCTCCCCTTATTGCATTGAAACAACCAGCAATTAACTGCAGGGAAGGAGCTCAACTGTTTTGCTCAAAGGAGGAGCTGATTCCTCTCCCTAGTAAAGCCAAGTGCCTGCCCTGATCTTCCCATGTGGGGCCTCTGAACGTCTGGGCTCTTGTTTGTAGGCCAGTTACTAAGGCTCTGCTTTTTGTTTATAAGCTTTTGTTGATGAAGGCATTGGCAAAGGGAGACATCCATTTTCTCTCACCACATCCTCCAGTTAAAGGAGCTAGATCCTGTTAGTTTAGAAGAAAAGTGATACTCCAGAGATTTTATAGGAATCCTAAGCATGCAGTTCCCTTTCCTCCTCTTGCGCACATTACGTGTAAGCAGATGGGGATGGCTCAACCCTACATCTGGGTTTCCTGTGACAGCCCGAAGCTCCTGGCAGAGGTAGGAGACCACAGGGCATCACGCAAGCACCGTGCTCGTGCCAGGGTGCAGCTCTGGGCATGTTTGCACCAGAGCATCCAAGAGTGACTCAGCTGGGCCAGTCAAACGTACTGATAGGGCAGATCTTTCCCCTGCTGAGGTTCCTTTGTCTGCTGTTCAAAATGATTTTATTTTGACAGCTTCAACACCTGAGCAGCGCAGATGGTGCTGGTACAGAAGCAGCCTGATGCAGGGATGAGGAGCGGAAGGGTCTGGAGGAGCAGCAGCTCTAGGGGGTTATCATATGAGTGTTCTGCAAAGTCACAGTTATTTGTGTTTTTAAAATGGGCCAGAAAGGGGCTGGGGAAGGTTAACAGTAAGGAGAGTGATCCCCCGCTGCCAGCTGGCTGTATGGTGATGCAGTCGGTGTTAGGCTGCTGAAATAAAACTTGCCCCAGAAAGACATAGCTCTGGAGAAGCAGTGCTTTAGCAGGCGACATTCACTCACTCCTCTGACTGCCCCAGAGTCAGCCTGGCCTCCCTCCCGAAGGCTCATCCTCCCAGCCAGAGACTGGGATGCAGCTACAGCATTTAAAGGTAAAACCCAGCAAGGGAAGATAAAGCAGATTCTACCTGTTATTGTTCTTTTGCAAAGAGCCTGGCTCTGAGGAGGACTATGGATGCTGGAGAACAGGCAGGGGGGAATGGGGACCAGCACATCTCTCCTGTAGGCAGGGACATACGATGTGATCCCTGTGATCCTTCTCTGTGAGGGGGATCAGAAGGAATTTGCACTGGACCCGTGGCAGGTTATGTCCAAAAGTAACAAAGGAAACAGAGGTCCCTGGATTTAATGGGCTAAAAATGGAGTTAGTTACACATCATGGCTGTGTTTCAAAGCACTCCATCACCAGCCTTTCTTTCCCCTGACAAGCCAAGGCCATACAACATGCTGAGTATTTACTGTGCAGTAACCCCTCCAAGATCTCTTGCCTCAAACAAGAGGTTTCCTTACTACTGGTAACTACTCAAATAATTTTCTCCCCAGCTCAGCAAAGCCGTTCTCTCCTGCCAGCCTGTCCCTCTTTCTCATCTCTGCAGTGGTTTTATTTCCTCACAGCTGGTTTCCTCTTCCCTTCCAAAGACGTGTTGCTCCAGGAGCATTCAGATGAACATGGGAAAGCAGGAGGCTCTTGGAATGGAGAAACACTCTGAGCATTGGTTTTGCGCAGCTGAGCCCACCATGCCAGAACTGTGAGTTGGGCTTGGCTGGAGGACCTGCTGTTGTTGCCTTGTGGCTGATGGAGAACCTGGGTTTGAGGTTAAATCTTGTGCTGTGATCTCTAAGCTGAGCTGGAGAAGATCATTACAGCATGAACTTGCTTGTGTGGAGCTGGGGGGAAGAAAAGGATGTTTCCGATCCCTTTCTGCTTTTGTCTGGAATCTGCAGGGATGAGAATGTCTTTCCCTCCCCCAGCCAGACTGTCAAACCTTCTTGTACCACGTCCCATTGTATTCAGGGGAAGAGAAGGGTGACATATCCCTAGCACACAACATACAGGCAGTAGCCTTGGTTCTCCAGGGTCCTTCCACCATTCCATCTCCAGAATACTGCTTGACTTTGTCCTCAGGGTCACTGAAGCCATTTATACACAAATGCAGATTTTTGTTCAAAACCTTGCTGTGGTTTATGTTTGTTGGTACACGTCCCTTAATCTTGAAGTTAGGTGGAATTTGAAAACGTCTGCTTTGAGAAGGACAATGTGCTTCCTGTCTCCAAATCCAGCACTGGTTGATTCAGGCAAGTCGAACTTCCGTTCTGATGGCCTTGTCATGGGGCCATCAGAAAGGCAGGTCAGCTGTGGTTGATGGAGGGCAGGTATTGCATCTCCTGGCACTGCAAGGCAGCAGCCTGGGCCACTGCAGAGGAAGGGGACGGATCCAGGTGATATGATATATGACACAGAGAGGAGCCCTTGGTGTTCTGCTGTTCCATGTCAAGAGACTTGAGTGAGTTCCGATGCACTGGGCTGAAAATTGTAAAAGGCAGCACAGAAACATTTAGTTCTGCTGGTGTCCTTTCATGCTGCTTGTGGTGCTAGTGAAAGGTGCCTGGCCTAGAGAACAACCTAAAAAGTGAGTTTTGGTGTCTGTGCCATTATTAGCACCCTTCCCTCAGTCTGGAGAGAGGCTGTTGCAGGTTTTAGTTACTCTTCAATCCAGGTTTTTTGGCCTTACCTTTGATCATGATCCCTACTGATGGAGTGGAGAAAGGTTGCTTCTGTCAAGCTTTCCTCCAGGAATTGCTCAGTTCCATTCATGATGAACTTATAAACTACATTAAGACCTCAGGGACAGAGTCTTGATATTTGATATTTGAAACCCAAAATCTGGGCTGGGCTGTCAGAACAGCTCAGTCCCTTTTTAAGCAGCAAATTAAGGTCCTAAGTTCTCAGCATTTGCAGTTTATATGAGCCTACTCAAGGCCGTGTTTTCTGCCAAGTCCAGCACCAAGCACTCCAGGGTATTGGAAAGTAACCGAGTGCTGGTGTGAGACTCGAGTTTTTCTGAAGATGACAACTCCTCAGCCTCCTGCTTCTCCTTCTCAAGAAGTGTCAAATTAATCCGTGGGCTGCAGCCAATTTATCATCCACTGAAACGTCTGATATAACCACAGAAACACTGACTGTTGGCTTGTGAAGTTCATGAGGGACCTCATGTTTAGTCATCAGACTCCTTTTCAGTGGATGTCTGCTGTTGTCACATCCATGACCTGTGTGGTCTGAAGATACCTTTACTGTGAATGAACAGAGAGCTATTACAAGGAAAATCTCATTGGTAAAAAGAGTCATCAAGGTGTAAGCAAAATGTGAGCAAGTCCAAACAGGGCTTTCCTCCAGAGGATGGAGGATTCTTGGTGTGCAGGAGCTGCTGAGACTCGTGCGAAGGTAGTTATGCCTGGCTATGAGTAACACCACAGGCAAAAGCATTTTTTGGAGCCAAAGCTGTTTTTCCAGAGGCTTTGTTTTTGTCATCAATAGTGGGGTAAGTCCTTTTGAGTCAAGCACTTCTCAGGTGGGAATGTTCTTGTCTCTTTGCTGACTTCTTTGTTGTGGCATGATACTCTATTTTTTTACTCTTCCTCTCCAGCGTGGATGCAGTCATTGTAAGAATCATATTTTTGGATAACTTGGTTGTGGTATTTGCAACTCTGAGGAGAGACGAAGGTGTCTGCAAGACTTTCATGGCAAAACACTCCAAAATTTTTCCACTGTGCCATTCCCAAGCCCTGGCAAATGATAGCCTTGCTGACAGGGGAGACATCTCACAGATCAATAACCATGACATGGGAAGTACCAGCCATCGTGGGGATGGCTTAAGGAGGATCTTATAAGATCTCCAAGGAGAGAGCAGTAATTCGTTTGTCCTCATGGGTGACAGCGGTGCCAGCCTGGCTTGGTTCATACCCAGGGGCTCTGAGCAAATACCAGCAGCAAGAGCCAAAAGAGGCGATCCCTGGGGTGTATTTCGCCTCCTGTTTTTTCCTAATCAGTGTCGCCTTGTTGCGGTTATCCATAGTGTCTGGACAGTTTTAGCAATTAATGGCAAGGAAATATATTTTGAGATACTTTGCCCACAAGACCAAGATCACTGTCCCCTGCATCGCCTCTGGATGCACATAAATTAGTGAATATTTAAGTCAGAGCTGCAAAGACTCATCTTCTTCAGCAGCCTGCTCTCACATAGGGTAGCCTTAAAACGTGCACAAAATAGTCATATCTATAAAAGAGTGCGCAAAGCCCTGCTCAGACTAGATGTATCTGCTTCTTTCATACCCACACAGCCAGATACCTTTTCTTAAATGACAAACTTTGTCCTTGGGAAATGTTATTTT